CACACACACACACACACACACATACACACACAATTTTTACGGAATAATAAAACTAAGATTAAAGAAACAGAGAAGAAAATAACAAGATTTCTAAATTTATTTCAAAGTAGTATTTTCATCTAGAATTTCCATTTACCATTCCAGCTTTCCCATATCTTTGTCTCATGGGAAGAAATATCGGGTAATCTTTTATCACTCAATCTCATTGTTCGTATCTACACCAGATTTGGAAGGCGTCACAGTTTGAAATTCAATCCTAGAAAAGAGAAGAAGCCAGAGACACAGGAGGGAAAGAGGAAGCCAGCTGCATCAAGTTAGAAGAGTGAACATTTTGTGGTATTCTCTCAAAATACACCGCCTTGACGGAAATTTTTGTTTTCTCCCAATACACAAAATAGAGAACTCTCTTTGGCCACCTATTATGATTTCAACCAGGAAAATTTAAGAAGGCTGAAAAGAAAGAAAGAAGAAAAAAAAAAGAAAATATGGTCCTTAAAAAAAATATATCTGAATAAATAAAAGATTTTTCTGCAGATAATAAGTGACAGATTACTGCCATTTCGCTGCTGGCTCAAATAAGCAAGATCTGTGGAAGGAAATAATAAAAGGCGTTAAGATATATTGACCTCTGTCTCCCCGAGGGCTGTCACTGCCAGGACGTACAGCTCATCTGCAGCTCATCTGAACTTTCCATTGTCCTCTTTCACGGGTGCTCATTGTTGCTTGTGTGGTGTTGGTGTCTGTCTCCCTGTGCCAACCCCAGCACACTGAATGGTATTTACTGTACAAATGGCAATGCGGGGCACTCGTCTATTAGATTTAATCACTTTAAAAGGCTTGGAAATGACTGCCAAGCACCATAATAAGAACTTTAAACATTCCGCTGGGCTTCATCTCACAATTTCATGTTACTTATGTTAATACTCAGTAATTCAGAAAGTCAATCACTGAACTTTACAGAGAACAAAGACGGTCTCTGTCTTTCAAGGATTTCATTATTCAAGAAAATATTAAAAAAGGGAAGTCAGTGAGTGGAGTGCCTATGGCAAATACTAAAATTTGCTAATCCTTAATCTAGTGCTTCTGAAGACATAGTACCCACAACAGAAACCATCACACTGAATATCTACCTGCTCTCGTCTGAGCATCTCCCCAGTGTGAACTGGACAAAGAAGAAAGAATATAATGACAGATTCATTTCTTTCACTATCTGTTCTTTGAAGCTTTTCATCAAATTTTCAGAGTATTTTTGCACATTAATGTGTCACTCTAGAGTTTTAGTGTCACTAATTTAAGAAAAATAAAATTGTTACCTTTCAGGCTCTCTCAGTATTGTTTCTTGGCCCTTCAGCTAAGACCCATGTATAACCCTCTCTCTAGCACCAGGCTGTGGTAACTCTTACTTGAGTCACTCATATCTGAATTGGCGGTGACTTTGAAAGTGGCTGGTCTAGCAATTTTTAGCTGTTGTATTTTAAATTACCCAGGTTTTCAGGGAAAGGTGGGAATTTAATTTTTTTAATTTAATTAATAGGACAGTTTTCCTACAAAGAATGACAAGTGGGCTTCGGTGGATTACCATCTTACCATGGTTTCAAAAATCATGCATTACTGTCCACGGGAGATGTTTGTGTAAAATATCAACCTGACCAGGCAGAACATGGCAGCTATCCCAAAGCAAGAACCATCTTCTCTCTGACTAATCTCATGAAATAAAGGCATATAGGGGCAGCCACCGCCATATTTTTTCTTAAAGAAAAAGGTATCTGATTGCCATAGTAAATGAACTTTCAGGATTATAGATGAAGATATCACCTCAATATTCTTTATTTGTTTCCTGAATTAGTTTCCTACATGCTGCTACAATGGGTAAAAAACAATGACAAAACATACAGGTTAATTATCCTTCAGTTCTGAGGTCAGAGGTCCTAGGATCAAAGTCCGACCTGAGCTTTTTTGCCTTTGGTTGCCTTTGGGGAATTTTTCTGCACCCTTGCTTTCAAAGAACCCCAGACCCATTGACTTTCCCAGCTTTACATGCTTCCAGCATCCTTGGTTCATGCCTTTGCAGCTCCAACTTCTGCCTCTTTTTCCACCTGTCATGTTCCAGCCAGTTATCTCTTCTTAATAAGACCACAGTGATGATATTATGAGTACAGATAATCCAGGTAGCTCAGAGTGATCTCCACATGTTAAGGATTGTAATCCCATCTATGGACTTCATTTTGCCATATAAGGTAGCATGACTTGTTGCTGAGAACTAAGAGGGAATTTTGTCTGTATATTTGCAGTCACAACCGTCAGCTTCAACGGCACCTTTGTCTCTCATTTCAGGCACCCCCCCACCTAGAGTCAGGTGATTTCAAGATACAAAAGTACTTATTACTACACTTCAACTACTGAGAACATGACAGAAGAGAGGTGGGAAAAAAGATTGCAAATGATAGCTTTTTCTTTCACTAGGCTCAAAGGCATTCTTTTCATTGATTAATGAATGCTTTCTGACAATTGCTAAAACTCATTCTCAAGATGGAGATGCTAAATAAAAATCAAAATTTCAATCTCATCATCACCACCACAACAAGAAAAAAATTTACTCATTAATGTAGAATCACGGGCACCATTCAAAAGTCCGAATGGTTGTAGCTAGATCTACTCTCCTCTCACAGATTCAATATTTTGATAGTAATATCATCTTTAAAATGGTTTTTTTGTACATGCACCTGTGTGTGTGTGTGTAGGTGTGTGTATGTAGGTGTGTGTGTGTAGGTGTGTGTGTGTGTGTAGGTGTGTGTGTGTGTGTGTGTGTGTGTGTGTGTGTGTGTGTAGGTGTGTGCCTGTGTATACACCTGCATACTAATGCCAGAAATCAATGTCTGGTGAATTCTTCTGTTGCCATCAATTGTATTTTTTGAGGCAGGATCTCTCACAGAAGCTGGAAATCGCTGACTGTCTAAAGTGGCAGGCCAGTGGACTCTAAGGTTGCACCAGATCCCTCCTCCTCCAGTGCCAGAGTTAGAGACACAAACTTCCTGACCAGCTATTAAGTGGACATGAACTTGGATCTTCATGCTTGTGTGGCAGGCACCTCACTGAAGGAGACACCCTCACAGTTCCTAAAATAGTTTGAAGCAAAATGCAAGTTTGGCCCCTCCCAGATAAGCTCCCTATGTAGATTTCCCATGGACTCTGATTACAAAATATCAAGCCTTATAGTTAAGATTAAATGCTAAGCCACAGAGTGGGACATCGGTCATAAGTAACCACACAGAGGGGGGCTTACAAATATGCATCCTGTCTAGTATTTTCTCACTAACACTTCCTATAAAGAGTTCATGAGTGTATGAGTCAGGGGTCTCTAGAAGAACAGAACCAATAGGCTGAACTCATTTACTAAAAGAATTGATGAATTCAGCTCATGTTAAAATAGTAAAAGCTGTTTCACCCCAGAGGCTGAGAATCTACTGATTACTCTGTCGTAGGAGTTGGGTACTTCAAGCAGTCAGAATAGTCCCAGAGTGTCTTTCTCATACTGGAGATGTAGATGGCCTAGGAGTTCCTCAGTTCACAAGACTGGCTGCATCAACAATCTCAACCTGGTGCCCAAACCGTGTAAGGTTTCTGGAGCCTGGTCCTAAGCCAACAATAAAAACCTGCAGTCTGGTCCTGGTACCAGCAAAGGAAGCAGGAGCATCAACCGTGTGAATGAGAGGGCCTCATGGCAGATGCAGAATGCTCTTCCTGCTGACATATCATCTTTCATCTGAGCTGAACTGTACGCATTCAGGGCGGGTCTTCCCACTGCACACATTCAGGGCGGGTCTCTCTACACCAGTTAAGATAATTCTTCCTCTGAAGGTCCATCCATACTCTGGTGATTCTAATTCATGGCACAGTGGGTGAATGCCAACAATGACAACTACTTCACATAATGGCATATTTACAAAAATCTTCCTCCAATTCCTTCTCAAATCTTTTTTATTTATTGTATTAATGAAGTTATTATTAGGCACATATAATACATCACTGTTTATATTAGCCTTTAAACATGTGCCCAATCAATGTTAGTCAAAAGACTGCATTGAAATTACATCGTAACTCCTACAGTGTTAAAAGTAAAGCTAATTAAAATTTGCTAAAAATACCTACATATTTTTGTATGTCAATTTATTTTTCTCATGTTTTCCTCACTAGCATATCACCCAAATATTTCTAATACTAAAATCTTTTGAGAGACTGTGGTAATAAAATAAACTTCTCAAGCCATGAGTTAATTCCTCATGCATGATTATATTCCTAGTCTCTCCCGTGATGTCTGGCACATTGTAAATGCAAAAGAAGATTGGTAGGCTGGCCTACCTTTTTCATAAGAAAAGAACTCATGCTCACAGTGCACACCTTTGAAGCTCATTAGAACAACAGCTCTTCTTAGTGATTGAAAACTAAAAATGAGAACTCTACATTTAAACCTATGCCATAGCATTATGGTGTCTCAATTGCACAATATGTTTATGATTATGTTTATTTATTATATCTTCTATGATATTATAGAGCATATATAGCACGTGGTTTCATTGTATATGTGCTCTTCAAAACTAAGGACATAAACCCACTTACTTTGATTATTTATTAATTATTGGTATGTTTTCTGTCCAAGTCCTTCTTCCTGGCTTCCATGCAATGAGGAGAGTTCTGTGCTGTGCACAGGTTCACCATGCTCTTTATTTTATTTGTTATATATACAGTGTTCTGCCTGCATGTCAGAAGAGGGCACCAGATCTCATTATAGATGGTTGTGAGCCACCACGTGGTTGCTGGAAATTGAACTCAGGACCCCTGGAAGAGCAGCCAGGGCTCTTAACCACTGAGCCATTTCTCCAGCCCCTCACCATGTTCTTACTCACCAGCACTCTTCACCCACGATGACTGCTCGAGGCACACAATGTGCTTCCTGTACTACGTTATGTTGTAAACTGGTTGTGGCAGGTTTTCAAAGTGCCTTGATACCCATCTGTTGACAAGGTCATTTCTAAATCTAGCATTCTCATAATAAGGTATTTCAGAGCTTGCTATTGGCCCTCTGGTTGGTGAAAGAAATCAGGTTCCCCAGGAACAAAGCCCTTCCAGTATAAAATGTAAGCTGTGGCTCCCCCAGCCCTGAGGCAGTAGGTCCTACAAAGAGGCTTGTGTCTCTTCAGCAGTGTGAGGGGCTAGCCAATGCTCTCTGACTACACAGCCTTCCTAGTCTGCTTGTCTCTCAGATACAGCTAAGGGCCTGATGCTTGCTCTTACTTGTCTTTGCCACTAAAACCTTTCTTTTGTTTCTTTGAAGAAACCTTTCTTTGTTTCTTTGTTTTATTGGAGGTATTTCTGTTTACTTCTTATGCGCAAACACCGTGATATAGAGATATCTATGGACATGTGATAAACCACAGTATATGAGTAACATTTTCAAAAATGAGTTGTAAAAATTTTAAGCAGTAAATATTTAATACTGAGATGGCACATCTAATGAGCAAGTTTAG